CAGCCCTTCACTTTCATTCTGCATGTGTCTTTAGGTCTGAAATTAGTCTCTTGTAGGCACCATATAGATGGGGGTTTTCTGTTTTGTTCGTTTCGTTTTGTTTTGTTGTCTTTATCCTTTCAGTCACTCTGTGTCTTTTGATTGGAGCCTTAGGTCCATTTATATATAAAATAATTATTGATATGTATGTATTTATTGCCATTTTGTGACGTGTGTCAACTATACTCAAGTAAAAAAATAAAAATAAGTTGCAGTGTATATTCTACTAGTCTCTTTTGGTGGAGAGAAGCATCATATACCTGAATTCCAGTTGCCTGAAATAAGTGAACTCAGTTGGGTAACAGATAAGAAATTGCTTGTTGTAGCTCCTGCCTGATTAGAAATACATACCTGAAGAGTAATTAAGGCATACTTTTTGTTAAAGCTTACTTCTTTATTTTGAGACAGAGAGAGAACACGGGGGAGGGGCAGAGAGAGAGAATCCCAAGCAAGCTCTGCACTGTCAGCACAGAGCCCAATCTCACAAACCACGAGATCGTGACCTGAGCCGAAATCAGGAGTCAGCTACTTACCCGACTGAGCCACCCAGGCGCCCCAAGGCATACTTTTGAAGCGAACCGCAAGACCTGCCCCCCAGTGCTGTTGAATGTATTTTGGAAGAGTTACTTAATATTAACATTCAGGGCTATCAAGTGAATCTGAATGGTACTCAGGTAGTATAAATAGGAAAAACCTAATACATTGTGCTGATCGGTATACAAGCATTACCAACGAATTCCTCATAAGACCTTGCTCATGGAAATCTAGGGTCTCTTTTCAGAAAGAACAGTCAATATCCCCTCAGTGTTGCTTACAAGCCTGTACAAATCACAGTCTTCTATCCCATGAGTCTTAAACCAACAATGATCCCTAAGCGAATTAATAAAAAGAAAACTCATCCTTCCTTTCAGTTTAGATCCTGAAATTAGGTTAAAGCAAAGCAAAACAACAGCAAAAACGAAACACTTGGTTTTAGCTTATTGAATGTAAAAACAAGGATGAGAAAATTAGTTCTGTTTTACAACATGGGTTCCCCAAATTCAAAGGAGATGTGAATTTATTAATCGTAGATACTGAGGCAACTTGTTCTTTTGCTTTAATAATTTGTTTTATGTAAGTTTGTCTCAGGTTGGATTCCCTCTTTTATCGAGCAAGGATTTTAGTCACCTCTCCTCACAGTTAATGCAGAGAGTCCAAGGAATACAAAATTGGAACATGGGCTCCAAGAAAATAGGTTTAGAAGTAGGTAAGTGGCACCTGGGTGTCTCAGTTGGTTAAGTGTCCAACTCTTGATTTTGGCTCAGGTGATGATCTCAGGGTTTGCGAGATCAAGACCCATGTCTGGCGGTGTGCTGACGGTGTGGAGCCTGCTTGGGATTGTCTCTCTGTCCCTCTCCCACGTTCTCTCCCCCCACCGCTCAAAATAAATAAATAAACTTACAAGAAGAGAGAAGTAGATAAAGGGCTTTAAGAAAGTCACATGAGGGGCGCCTGGGTGGCTCAGTCGGTTGGGCATCCGACTTCGGCTCAGGTCACGATCTTGCGGTCCGTGAGTTCGAGCCCCGCATCGGGCCCTGTGCTGACAGCTCAGAGCCTGGAGCCCGTTTCAGATTCTGTGTCTCCCTCTCTCTCTGCCCCTCCCCCATTCATGCTCTGTCTCTCTCTGTCTCAAAAATGAATAAACGTTAAAAAAAATTTTTAAAAAAAGTCACATGATAAATTTTTAAATAAAAAGTAAATTATTTT